CACGCAGGACTGCTCCTTCAGTTGTAAGTGCAGTTATTGCACTGGTCACAGCGATGGAGTCGTAGCCTGAAGCAGTCCTTGGGAACCAGCGGTGTACGGTCTAATGTTGCTCAGGCTGTTTGTTTCTGTCTGAAGACTGGTTATTCTGGAGAAAGCGTTTCAGGCACTTTTGAGGGCAGTGCACAAAGGTGCTGGTGCTGTTGATGCCACTCGGATTTGCTGTGGGAGCCCACGCGGAGGCTGCGGGGCTGCAGGGACAGGGAGCAGGCCTGGGGTTGTGGGGGTGCAGTCCCCACTGCCTGCACCTTGTGTTGCTGCTGCCCGCAGCCCCTCCAGGCGCCCACACCTCCAGTCTGGGCCCTGCTTTGCCTTTCTGTGCCTCTGGGCACTGCTGTGCTCTCCTCTGCCAGCCCTAGAGCGGGGCAGTGTCCGTCACGACGGGCGCAGAGCCCAGCGCTGGCTCCACGCGCTCAGCACAGGAGTCCTTGTGCTGACTTTGTGTGAGACCCACGCTCAGAATTCCAGAAAGGGATTTTTTAGGGGGGGAGTCAGACAGCCAGGGCTGTGCGCAGCGTGGCTGGAGGTACAGATATAGCCAGCTCCGTGGCCCAAAGGGAACAGAAACCGTATGGCTCTGCTCCAAACGAGGAGATGTCACTAAAGAAGAATGCATTGCTGAGAGTCTGGACAGCTGGGGCCATGGTGGACTTTGGGAGTGGGATTTATTTGGCTAAGTATAGACATCTACGTTGTGTTTATTTATATGTAAGCTCGTCACTCTGGGCTCCCCTTACAGTCATGAGATTTAGTCCCTGTAGCAATGGAGTTCAAGATGCAGTTCTTATGCAGAAGTAGATGTCTGAAAGAACATAAATAATTCATGCCCTGAAAAGTGTCCATTTCTCTCCGTTGTGTAAGCCTGAGATAACTCATCGGCTGTGGGTGTAAATGTTTTAAGACTGGGATGATTTTCATCCCAAGGCTTGAATCGGGGATCTCCTGGCTGAATGAAGGGCCAGGCCCTGGCACCACAGACAGGGGCTGGGTCTCGCCCGAGCCAGGGGCTGTTATCCGGGGACTGTCGCTCTTCCACGGTGAACTGGTGTAGGACGTTGACTTTACCAGACCCAAGGCTGCCCTGTTTGATGGATGATGGGAGCCTGTGTCACACAGGAAATGGAACTGGGCAATAAAGTCTCTTCTGGCTTTAAAACCTGCAGGTTTTAGGACTGTTGCGTGACGTTGAGTTCTGTGGGTTAACTGTGGCTCGTTGCGTGTAACATACACAACGAACTTCCATTCATCAGGTTTGAACTTCTGGTCTTGCGGCATCATTTCATGTGTTCTGCTTTCTGCATGGTGAGGTAAGGGAAATGTAAACACGTCCTTCATTAGCTCAGCCCATACTTTAAATGTGTCTTTCGGGTCTGTAGTGTTCTCATTTCTATGGTAAAAAGATCAGTCACAGCAGAGAAGGAATTTTCCGGTGCACTCATCAGTGTGCACCTCCTGAGCCAGTGCAGCATTCAGCTGACAGATAAGCTGCTGTAGCTGGTTTTACAGACCGCTGTGCCTGCTACTGTCCATTTTACTCCTCTGTATCATCTGTGTGGCTTCTTGGGAGGGTTTTTTTCATTGAAGTTCTTACAGAACTCTACAGGTGTTTTTCATGTGCTGGTGTGATTCTGAACTCAGTAACTGGGTAGTTCCTTTTAGTATTTATAACACCTGCGTATTCTGCCAGGTCCCTGATTTTCTGACTTTGGGTTGGTGATTTGTAAGTTCTTGCCCACCTCTTGCTGTCGTGAGTTGCCTGACTGATTTTGTTTCTTCTGCAAGCGTTCACATTTCTGTTTCCTGCTGTTCTGGGTGAGCGATATCTCTGTATTCCAGTTCTGATGTGGACGCTGTTTAATTTGATCCTTTTGTAATGGTTGGAGTTGAACGCTTGTTATTGGTGGTCACTCTTGGTTTTGTCTCCTGCTTTCTAGTCTCCATGGGACTTTATCTTCCGCTGGTTTTTTGCTTCCTAAGAAGTTTCTGTGAGACCACATAACAGTTGCTCTGTATGCAAAGACAGAAGCACAGATTTTAATCTTTCCTGTGCTTTCTGCCTGAGGTTTTTATGCTGTGTTGAGGTACACAGAGATCCATGCTCCGGGTGTGCAGGGAGCTCTTAGCGCGGCTGTCAGTGGGACAGCCGGGTGTCCCTGGCTCGGTCGGCGATGGGCTGTCTGCTGGTATCGGAGTTAATTTGTGTGAAGGACCAAGCACAACCACCCTGGAGCTGCACTGGGAGTGCTGTGTCCTGCCTGAGAGTTCGCTGAAGGAGATTTAACTTCAGCAGCATGGAGATTTGCCGTGAGGATATCCCACAGGCCATGGTTTCTTCAGGTGCTTAGTTTCTGGTTTAACTTCTTCAGGGACTAAATGCTAGTGGAAGTTGGGAAAACCATGGCGCTATAAACCAGAGGTAGTTTTCTGAAGGATTTGACAGATTTGCAGCATTTCCCCCATTTACTTCAACGTAAAGCTGTGTGTATTTGTGTCAAGATGACGTTGAAGAGCTTGGGGAGGGGAAGCAGTGGCCGTGCTGTCCCCGCTCCCACCAGCCGCCCGTTCCCACCCGATCATTGCACGTGAGCTCTCCCGCTGCTTGTGCGGCCGTCGTGGCCGAGCCCGTTGCAGCAGTTCATCACTGACGTGGCCGATCTTCTCACATGTGCTTCCTACTCCATTTCTTTTTCTCAAGGAGAAATTATCAGTGAAACACAGTACTCTTTGGGAAAGGCTTTTCTTGTTAATATGACTGCTATTTCGGGTTCATTTTGCTGAAGACAAGTCAAAGATGCGTGTTGAAGATGTGTGTGTTACACGTAGAGAATAAGCAGATGAAGCATTTATAGATTTTTGGACGAGAGGTTGTTTGATTCACAGCATTGGTCAAGCCTCTGTGAAGTTCCCATTGAGCTTTGTCTTTCTGGGTGGCAGAGTCCCCGTGTTTCTGAAGAGGTGAGGTGTGATGCTTGCTTCTTGCCATGGAGCTGTAAGTCCTCTCTTTAGCTTTTGCTCCAAGCTGCTGTGAATGTTACCAGTAAAAAACAAGTCCACAGGTTTTGGTCGGTTGGTTTTCTGTTCTCTGAGAAGCCACCGTGCAGAGAGGAGAATAGATTTGAGATCTGTGCTATAATGTGCATTGCTAAGAAGTTTGCAGGATTTGCTGAAGGGCAGTGGCTTCTTGCCCAAGCGTCCTGCACTGCTGTAAAGCTGCAAAGTAACCAACTTGCACGTATCTGCTCTTGGGTCATTTCCTGCCTGGATGAGATGGAGTTGCTCAACTGGAGATGGAAAAATACCTCACTCCAGAGCCTTCTGGATGTGAACTGGGCATTGCTGTGGAGCCCAGGAGTCCTGACAAGTGAACCAAGTGCAGTGGTTTTGGGTGTGTGTCTTCAGCCAAAGGAAGATAGCCAATCTATCACAGGATCACAGAATCCCAGACCGTTAGGGATAGGAAGGGACCTCCAAAGCTCATCCAGTCCAATCCCCCTGCCGGAGCAGGAACACCCAGATGAGGTTACACAGGAAGGCGTCCAGGCGGGTTTTGAATGTCTGCAGAGAAGGAGACTCCACAACCTCTCTGGGCAGCCTGGGCCAGGGCTCTGTCACCCTCACTGAGAAGAAGTTTCTTCTCCAATTTCAGTGGAACCTCCTGTGTTCCAGTTTGTGTCCGTTACCCCTTATCCTATCATTGTTTGTCACCGAGAAGAGCCTGGCTCCATCCTCTATGGTCTGCATGGCGGCTGTAAAATCCCAGCCAGCACCGTTTTGGCGTTCTCCATCCTTGAGCTCAGTTTTAGCTGGCTGTGTCACCTCTGAGCTGACATCTCCCAGCACTGGACGTCCTTGGACGGTGGTGTAGCTGTGAGCGCTGCAGTTGTTGGTTTAGGAGGTCCCTTCAGGAGGGACTCAGGCCGTGCCCATGGGTCTCTGCCAGGGCGTTGCTCCATCAGGGGTGGCAGAGTCTCACAGCTGGCAGGAGAGAAGGAGCTGGTGCAAGGGAGGTGCAGGTCCAGGGAGGTGATCATCCCCCTGTACTTGGCACTGGTGAGGCCACACCTCGAGTGCTGTGTTCAGTTCTGGGCCCCTCACTAGAAGAAGGATGTGGAGATTCGGGAGCGTGTTCAGAGAAGAGCCACGAGGATGGGGAGGGCTCTGGAGAACAAGCCTGATGAGGAGCGGCTGAGGGAACTGGGCTTGTTTAGCCTGGAGAAGAGAAGGCTGAGGGGAGACCTCATCACCACCTCCAACTGCCTCAAGGGAGGTTGTGGAGAGGTGGGTGCTGGGCTCTTCTCCCAGGTGATGGGGGATAGAACAAGGGGAAGCGGCACCAAGCTGTGCCAAGGGAGGTTCAGGTTAGAGAGAAGGAGGAAGTTCTTTCCTGAGAGGGTCGTCAGAAGCTGGACCAGGCTGCCCAGGGAGGTGGTGGAGTCACCATCCCTGGATGTGTTTAAAGAGCGGGTAGACGAGGTACTTAAGGATATGGTTTAGGGGGTAGACAGGAGCGGTTGGACGTGATGATCTCAGAGGGCTTTTCCAACCCAGCGATTCTGTGACTCTGTGATTCTGTGAAAGAAAATGTGTGTTTGGAGAGCTGTGGTTTTGCCAGAGATTTCTAAGTGTATTTAATTTAAATGCCACTGCTCAACATACGTATTTCCACTGTTGGTGCTAAGTGTGCGCAGGGGGAGTCCAAGTGCTGCTGTCTGGTTCCTGGGACAGCAGGATAAGGTATCGGCCTCCTGGCACGACAAGGACAGAGCTGTCCCCAGAGCTGTTCTGAGGAGCCGGTGGTGCCACAGCACTGCAGGTGTGTGAGGAAGATCAGGAATTGTGGGGGTCAGGAAGGAGGAAACAACGGAACAGACAGGGGGTGGACGTGGTGGCAGCAGCTTCAGAAAGGTGTTTGTGGAGGCCGGGATGTTTCTGGGTCAGCACAGCGCTGCTCAGAGGAGAAGACTTCTTGGCTGTTCAGGCAGCGGTCATGGCCAGATGCCTTTCTCGCAGTGTTTTAGGCTGCTCACCAGGATGCCTCTGGCAAACCTGGCTGCGTGCTGCAGACCGGGCCTCGAGCTGCTGCTGGTGGTGCTGGTGACCCCCGTTTGCAGTTTCCTGTGTGAGTTCCTCTGGAAGGGGTGGCTCGGCTGCAGAAAGGAGCATTTGTCACCTCCAAAGGGACACTTGGCCCCCTGAGGGAGCAGGGACTGTGCTGGGGTGGGGCAGTCGGCGAGGCAGAAGGGACAAGGGGAGATTTGGGTCTCCTGGGAGAGGGCGGTGGCACAAACACGGTTGGATCTCAAGGGATGAAAAGAGGATTCTCTGTGGCTCCCCAGAAATGGCCCTGCAGAGTTTCCAGCAACCCAGGAGAACACAGAGTTGCTGGAGTAAGAGCAAGCCTGAAGAAATGAAGCTTCTTCAAGGACATGTGAGCAGAGAAAATTTGGGTTACAAAACCTTTTACTTACTTATTTATTTATTCCATTTTACCTGGCAAATCTGAGGTTTCCTCTTTACGTTCCCTTGTTCTGCTTTGTGTTCCAGTGGAGATTTTTTGTTAGATTTAAAGCCCATTTGGTGTTGGGGTCCTCTTGCAGCTGTGCAGTTGCCCCGTTTGACAGATTTCCTGGGTGTTTGGTATGAGTCGTAAGGAAAGATCTTTCTGTGGTTGCCTCTGGGAGATCATCACTGCCTTAGCGGTGTTGTAAACCCTGGTACCTTTTGTGCCAGAATCTGGGGACAGCCTCAGGGTGCAGGTTACACGTTTTGCCTGTCGGCCGGGTGTTTTGCCTGTCGGCCGGGTGTTTTGCCTGTCGGCCGGGTGTTTTGCCTGTCGGCCGGGTGTTTTGCCTGTTGGCCGGGTGTTTTGCCTGTTGGCTGGGTGTTGTTGCTTGGCGGAGGCTGAAGGGTCAGCACTGCACAGCGTTACAGGTGTCAGTGTCTGTCACACGCTGGACCCAAAGGCTGAATGGTTTTCGATCTGAAATCAGGACACATAGAAGGTAGGACAAAAGATAACTTCTGAGATAGCCATGACTTAGGATTTTTATTCCTAATTATTTCAAGTTCTGTTCTGACAACAGCGTGGAAGAATTGGGCTGATTTATAGGGGCTGCTGTGAGGAAAGGTTTAAATCTGAGAAAGATAATTTGTTGTGTTGAAGAAAGCACCGTAAATTGGAGAGAGAAATATGGGAGAAACAAACAAAAGAGCTGCAGACGCTGACTTTGGCAGAGCAGGAAAGCACAGGGAGCCCAGCAGGACACCAGTCCTGCAGTGTCAGCTGCATCTGGCTTGTGCATGACTTGAAAGGAGAATGATAAGGGGTTAGCAAAGGGAAGCAGTGGGAAGTACCGAGGAGAGGTATTTTGTATTCCACAGCGGAGCTGGACCTTGTTACTGGCTTGGGTTTAGGTGGACTGTGCAAGGAAGCTAGAGCCTGAAAGCCGGGAGAAAGACAGACATCCAAAATAATCAGCTTTGAATGAGGATGATACTGTAGAGAACGGTCTTGGTGATGAAATGTCAGACTTCAGAGGAGACAGACACGGTTCCTGTCTGCGTTTGGGGAGATACGAGGAGAGGAGCTCCAGGGTCAGGGAAGAGTGGAGATAACGTCTTTGGAAATCAAAAGAGGAGGAAATGGAACCAGTGATATAAACCTGAAATACCAATAGGGTATCCAGGAGGAACTGTGAAGAAAAAAGCTGCTTATGCAGATAGATACAGTTTTACAAATAATCCAGTGCATAATGTGCGCGAGTTAATTTGAGGAGTTGTGAATTCAGAAATGTGAAGTCCTTCACAAGTCCTCCACACCAAATAACGATTCTGGACCATTAAAAACCCCCAGTTTATATAATGAAAGAGCACTTTAGAAACAGAAATCCAGTAGGAAAGGGTGGAGGAAGAATATGGATTTCCAGGAATGTTTTTGCACAGCCTGTCATTTTCTGGACGCTTGGCGCTGTTGTAAATCCCATTTCCTCTTAGTTCATCCTGTCGGCACTGTTTCCATCAAACCTCTCTGTCGCTGCCTTCTCTGGATTTGGGAATTGTAGTCATTTTCTTGTCCCTCTTCAGACATCGATCTCCGCCTCCCACATTCCTCTGTGCCACAGTAGAGTTTAGTTTCCTGACCCAATGTGTGCGACTTCCTTCTCTCCTGTACGCGAGTGTGTGTGCGCGTGAGAGCTTTACAAGACTGGTCCTCTCTTATGTTGTGTGAAGATTGACTGCATTGACAGTTGTAGCCTTTTTGTTGTTATGTTGTGATCAGATATTTGAGATCCTGAAGAAGTGAAGTGCTGGGTAATACCTTTTCTGGAACCCACGCGTCGGAGTTAATGGCCAGGTTTCCACACGGTGTGTCTGTGGGAAACCGTTACCAGGCTCTGCGCGATGGTGAATGAGGATGGGCCGAGATGTGGTGGGTGTGTGACTTGCAGCGTTGGCTGTGTTTGTGACTGCCGTTTACAAACCCGAACTGACACAGCCGTGAGAGGCACTCGTGCAGCCCGAGGTTTGCCCACCTCCCTGGGATCTGGACAGGAAGGGCATCACGTTGTGCTTTTCTCACAGTGATTTCTGATACCTGATCCGAAGTACAGGGTGTGTATCCTCGTGGGCTTGGCCCTGCAGCCTCTTGTCTTTCTCTGCTAATGGTGGATCTTGGCACATTTGCATCGCAAATCGTGCTTGAGAGGACGTTTCAGATTCAGCTCCTCAGTGTATTTCCTTACGCATAATCAGATCTTAAATTCTTGTGTAAGTGTACGAAACATGCAGGTTCTCTACCAAACGTGCAACTGTCACCTTTCCTGTGGCTTCCTCAGGTCTTGGACTTGAACTGGATGTGTGCTTTTCTTTTCTTTGTTTGTATAACAGCAAAAGCGGAAACTGAGACTCTACATCTCCAACACGTTTAATCCTGCGAAGTCTGACGCGGATGACTCTGACGGCAGCATCGCGTCGTGGGAGCTGCGAGTGGAGGGGAAGCTCCTGGATGACGTACGGCTGCCCTGCGCTTCACGGGGCTGTCCTGGGGTGCTGGGCGTTACTGGGGACGGCAGCCCAGACAGAACAGCTCTGAGTGGCAGCACCGCTTGTTGCTGCGGGGAGGGCACCGAGTCCAGCCGGAGTGAGGAGCAGGGCTGTAATGGGGATGGCGGGGAGGGCAGCAGGAAGCGGAGCAGACTTGAGGGCAGGACAGGACAGGACAGGCAGGAGGAGGTGGGGAGAAGAGGGCTGAGGCGATTCCCCTGGCAGACATGGCAGGGCTCGGGCTGTGAGGTGTGAGAGGTCAGGCCTAGAGCAGCATGGCCTGCTGTGAGGGCAGGGTAACAGAGAGAGGCCAGGTCATCTTCCTGGGGAGGATGAGAGGGTGTGTGGGTGGGTGAGGAAAAGTTTTATCATTCTGAACTCCTCAGAAACCTCGGCGGTGGATTTGTTCTGCCCCGGGAAGGCTGGACTTCCTTAATACAAGTGTCAGCTATCGGAAGGGACTTGAAAGCTGAGTGTTTGATAGGGGAACAGCTGGAGAACAGGCGCGTATGGAGAGGGCAGGGCTTTCACGGCGTGTTTGTCTGTCTGGAGATAACTGCACGTGAATCAGCATCGTAATTCGCTGGAGGAGGAAGTGGTGGTGAAGTGCAGCATGTAATTGAAGTTCGACAGATTCAGTTTAGAGATCAGAGCATATATCTTAACACAGAAAGGTTCTTTATTGGAACAAAATAGCTTCTCAGTTACTGGCAAATTTTAAATCAAAGGAGGATGTATTTCTGAATGATGTTCTGCATTAAATAAGAAGAGATACATTGAAATCCTGTGGACTGTGTTCTGTGGGAAGTCAGATTATGTGATTATAGACCTCCCAGTTTTTAATGGAGACAGCATGAGCTGTGTGGTAAACAGCTGATACTGATATTTAAATAGAGAGGCCAAATGTAAAAGGTAATACTTTTACTTACTGTCATCTGATAAATTCGACCAAGAAATTATAATTCATAAAAAAGCCCAAGCTGTTAAAATAGAAGCTATACAGTGGCCTTAGAATCCCAGACTGGTTTGGGGTGAAGGGACCCCAAACCCCCCAGTCCAACCCCCACGGGCAGGGACACCTCCACCAGCCCAGGCTGCTCCAAGCCCCGGCCAACCTGGCCTTGGGCACTGCCAGGGAGGGGGCACCCACGGCTTCTCTGGGCACCCTGGGACAGGGCCTCACCACCCTCATGGTAAAAAATGTCTGCCTCATATCTCATCTAAACCTGCCCTCTTTCAGTTTAGAACCATTGCCCCTTGTCCTGTCACTGCAAGCCCTGGTAAAAAGTCTGTCTCCATCTTTCTTACCAAGCTCCTTTTACTGTTGCAAGGCCACACTAAGGTCTGCCTGCACAACCCCAACTCTCTCAGCCTGGCTTCCTTAGATCAATTTTGTGGCCGCCTCTGGGCACTCACAGGTGCCATTTTCACATTACAAACCAGTCCTTTCCAATAACATGAAGAGAGTCAGGGAAATCCTTTCTCCAGTGTTTGCTGTTCCACCACTGTTGAGATTTTTGCATCTTCCCCTGCGTTTGTCAGAGGTCAGACTCAATTAGATTGATCACACTAGTGGTCTATACGGGAATTAAAGTTCAAGAGAAAGAGAAAGCCTGAGAAGGAGGTGTAGACCACGTATACGCAGCCTTAAACATTTCTGTTTGTTCCGGTTGTACAGCTCAGCAAACAGAAACGAAAGTTTTCGTCTTTCTTCAAGAGTTTGGTCATTGAGCTGGACAAAGATCTGTATGGACCTGACAACCACCTCGTGGAGGTAAGGAGGCCCTGCACCCTGTGCACGCAGACCTGGCGCCCGTTGTCTGCCTTGTTAAAGCCACCTCGCGTTCATCATCTCGTTTGAGGTATTTGCAGGGTTTTCAAAGTTGCATTCTTTTTATGAACGTTGACTGATGGAGTCTACATAATCTGTATGTTCTTTATCTGTAAACCATAAACCCATGGATGCAATAGCAATGTAGCACACATCTTAGAGCACAGTGCGTGAAAGGATGAAAACATTGCGTGCGTTTTTCCAAACAAGTAAAGCAACATTGTGCACTAAAGCTGAATTGTAAGGCAGAACAAGAAATAATCTGGGGGCTTTTGTTGTGGTTTTGTGGTTATATTTCAATTGCAAGCCCTTCAGAAGGCCGGTACTTGTCTCATTCTTGTGTGGCACACTGTGCAAGATGCACCTCGATGGACGTCAGTGAAAACACAACTGTGTGACTTGTTTGTCCCTTTGGCAGTGGCACAGAACTCCCACAACCCAGGAAACGGATGGTTTTCAGGTGAAGAGACCCGGTGATGTCAGTGTGCGGTGCACGTTGCTCCTCATGTTGGACTACCAGGTCAGTGCGCGGCTTTTGGTGTGGAAAATACAGCCAAGGGTACGTAGTGCGACAGAGCAAGTTCATGCTGCCATATACATCCAAAAACAATGTACTTGGCCTCAGAAGTTCCCTGATCTCAGTCACAGGAAACAAACAAACAAAACCAATAGGCAAAATGAGGTTATTCGTCCTTGGAATAGAACATTCCATAGAAGAGGCTCCTCGGCACGGTTTCAAGCTGTTTTAAGCTGTGGTAAGGCTGAGCTGCTCCAAAAAAACACTTCCATTTCAGTTGTGGGTGTGCGCTGCCACGGTCTCCATTCTCTTGGCACAAATTATGATTTGCAGTTGTGGAGCTCACTAATCCGACCAGAACCATCCCTGGAATAGATGTTGCTGTCTTAAGGAAATTGATAGAAGTGCACTGCTGACGGGAGATGGGGTCTCCCTTTTCAGTGGCAGTTCAGTCTCAGGTACATTTTCACTGTATGACTTTGGGAACCAATTCTGTGCCATTTTCTTTCCCCTCCATGCAAGTAGCAGCTCTGCAGGGTAAAGACACTCCACTTCATGTTAATAGAGAGAAAATGTTATTAATTTTAGGGAGCATTTGAGCTAACTGACATGCTGATGTGGCCAGTGAGAATCTTTACTGTTAAAGCAATGATGTTTGTTGTGTTCACCATTATTATAAATGTAGCCTTTAAAATAGATGTCTCATATCCTTAAGCAGTCCTGATTTGTTGTAAAGCTGGCTTTGGCTGACCCAGCACCCAGCAGAGTAATCCTTGCCTGATAATGTGGCAAATGTTAGACTTGAGTATTGGTACCCACGTGAAGAGACACCGAATTCCAAGGTATCCAAGGAGAGATGCAGAGCAGGGCAGTTGAAGAGTTGTATCACAGAGGTCAGGAGAAGAAATCTCTTCCATTGACTGATGGTGGTCAGGTAACTTTTCTGGTATGCAGCAGAATGGTGGGGACATGCCTGGAAAGCAGAGTTTGTTGTTGTGAGGCAGCTGAGCAGTTACTAACAACGGTGGAAGCATCGTCCTGGCTGCATTCCCTCTGTCTGTGGTTGACCTGCAGTGGTTCAGAGGACGAACCCTCCCTGAAGCCAAATTGTGCGTCCCTGTTGAAAAGGAAGCTTCTTTCCTGAGTCTGCATGCAGGTTGTTGTTGTCTGAAGCAAGCGATACAGCTTGAGTGTGTGCATAGCTCCTGTTGAGCGTCCCGCGTCCTTTTCAAACCCTCGACGTGGTTCTTCCAGAGCTCCGACAGCAGCACATGTCCGAGCAGCCCCTGCCACTGAACAGGGTGCTGCTGAGAACAGAGTCCCCCCAGGGTTACAGCTGAGACTCGGTGCCTGTCTTTGTGTCTGCTGTTCTCTCTGTTGCCGTCTCCATCTCCTCCTCTTTCTGTTCCAGCCGCCACAGTTCAAGCTGGACCCGCGGTTGGCCCGTTTGCTGGGGATACACACGCAGACCCGCTCAGCCATCATCCAGGCGCTCTGGCAGTACATCAAGACAAACAAGCTGCAGGACTCCCATGACAAGGAGTACATCAACTGCGACAAGTACTTCCAGCAGGTGACTCCTTTTTGGACACTTTAGCTCTTGAGAGGCAAACTGCAATACCCATCCACGAATTTGGGATGGATGAAACCTAGCGATTGTTACCTTCCGGTAATGGTTTGCAGTATCCTGAGTACCAAATGGCTTTCAACAGCTACTGCAGCTAATAGAATAGCACCCTCCCCAGCCCCACATCTGGCGGTTCGGTGCTCCCATGGGAACTGAGGCCTTTCCAGGGAGGGCTTTCTCCAAGTGTTTCACTGTATTTCCCCCGAGGAACCATGAGATAATCTGAATCATGAGATAATCTGCTGATTCTGATTGCAAAATCATATGTAGACCTGTTTTCTTCCCTTCTCTTGCCCTGTTCATGAGGGCAGCAAACATGGAAGATATAATTAGAAAAGCTATTTTTTTCCTAAATCTGCTCCTGACTATAAAATACCCTCAGTGATCTGCACGATGTTTTGGAAGTAGCACATTAAGACGTTTTGTCTTTCACTGCGATCTCTAGAATTGACTGATGCCACTTTAAGGCGTCTCCACCTTTTCTGTAAATATGATTATATTTATTTTCTAAAGGTAATGCTATCTGAGCTATCACTGCCTTAATTGACTTTGTTTTTCTGTAGCTTCAGGCTTACCCAATTCATTTCGAAATACCTGAAGGTCGGGTTTGTGATGTTCTCCTGTTCAGGGAAAGCACTGGCACTTGAAATACATCAATGACGTTTTAGTGGATATTGAAAGGAAACGTTGCAGTGAAAGCTGTGTCCTAGTTTTCTTTCTAAGCTTTATTTTCTGTTATTAGTTTGTCCTACAGTGACCAGTGCTTGAAAGAGACTTAAAGGCAGCACTGGGTTTTCCCACATTTGAGAACACAAAATTCAACAAAACAATGGTGAGATTCGTGGGTATTTTTCGGAACGCAGAACCAAAGCGATCTGGGTTCTGTAGTCACTCTCTGGTTCGTTTGGTTTGGGTTTTTGGTTTGGTTTGGGTTTTTTTAAGAATTACAACATGCAGTCATTTCCATCTGTAGTGAAAATTCCATCTGAAAACCACATAAAATATTTTGGCAAAGCTATGGAGCTGTTTGCTCTGTTGCTTAGATCCATTCTCTATTTATCGATAGCCAATTTAGACTCAGTTTTGTTTGTGCCAGCCCAAAGAGGAAACGGAAAAGGAGAGGTGAAAAAGATCTCAAAAGTCCTGAGCAGAATGGCAGAGGCGACGGGGGGGGACTGTTGTGTGTTTGGGTGAATAACCAGAGGCCACCAGCTGAAACTGGCAGGTAGCAAATCAAAGCCAAACCAGAGGATCGAGCATGGGTAAATTTTGGAGCTCCTTGTGATGGGACGTGACAAATGCTAACAGTGCATACAGGTTCCAAAAGTGGCAAACTAATGGCAAAAAATACTGGGCTGTCACAAATGCAGGGTAGCTGCAAAGCTGTGGAGATGGGGAGAGCTTTTTTGGGGAGGGAGCAGCGTGCGTTTCTCCTGTTCTTACATTTTCTTTAGTATCCGCTTTTGGCTGCTGTTAAGTGGTTTTAAAATCCAAAAACGTTTTCTTGTATTTTTCTCTAGCACAAAATATTGCAGGAAACACGCCTCGAGAGAAAAGCAAAACTGTTTTTAACTTTCCTTGGGTAAAACAATAATTGTTGTCTTTATGATGTGCTGCTGCAGACCCTTGGTGAGAGCCGCGTTCGCTTCCCTCCCGTCACTGGTTCAGTTGATCCTGATGTCCCAGTGAAGGGCCCTGTGCCCTTCAGCAGCCAAACCAACAGGGGCCACCTGAATTCGTCACCGGGTGCGTGTGTCACCAGCCCAGGGTGTGAGCACAGCAGCAGCTCACAGGGACAGAAGTGACCAAAAATGCGTGCAAGGAGCCAGAATTACAGCCTTCAGAATCATCTTACTCCTGAACTGCTGATTTCTCACTCCCATTTGATTGCAGGTTGGGGTTTGGACAAGGATAACGTGCTTTATTGTATTCCAGATCTTTGACTGTCCGCGGCTAAAGTTTTCTGAGATTCCTCAGAGGCTCACTAACCTGCTGCTGCCACCAGACCCTATCGTGATAAACCACATCATCAGGTGAGCTGGGGTCTGCAAAACACTCACGGTGTAAAGTACAGAAACAGCTTCAGTGGCAGGGACCAGAATCCGGATTCTATAACTTAGTTGTGAGTTCATTCTCTGTGTCATTCTGGTCTGTAGAATTCTGAATTATTTTCAACAGAATGGCACCAGTTCTCTAGGATTATGCAAAACTTCTTAGCATTTTTATCCCTGTTAGAATACCAGTGAGATATTTGGTCAGGTGTCTTTCCTACGGGGAGAGAAACAAGAGTTTGAATCCACTTAGTGGGGGGAAAAATTGGAATTGAAGTAAGATATTGTTCACCATGAGCTGAGCTACTGTGTAAAATGCACAGCAGTATTCGAGTTTCAGAGACAGTGTCCAGTCCGTGTGCGCTCTGCTGGGATTGTGTCAGCTGTTTGGGTGTTGGTCTTATTCCAAGAACGCAAACAGCGAGGGGTCTCCGGATTTAGGGTGAAGAACGCCCGGTTCAGAGCAGCCGTTGTGACCCAGACACCGAGTCCTGGCGTCCTTGTCAAAACAGGCGTGTTTCTGGCCTGGCAGATGAAACACAGCGCCTCCAGTGACAACTGTGTGTGGGGAGGGGGATAAGGAGACTTTTGGGGATTGCCGCCTTGCTGTTGGGATATTTCAGACTTTCCCAGGTTCCTTTGTGGTTTTGGTGGAGTCTCTGATGCTGGGTGTTTAAACGTTATTGTTAACTGAGCGTAGTGATGTGATTTCCTACACAGCACTGACAACAAATATTTCTGGACATGCTTAAAGTTGGATTCCTTATTTTAAATTTGTAATAGCTATGATAAGAAGCTTGAGTATTACATAGGCTGTCAAAGGAGAATTTCGATTAATTTGAATATATAAAACAGAGTAATCGAAAGGCAGCTCGACTGCCTTGTAGCTTGGTAGCTGTGTATATTCCGTCATTGAGGACGAGTCAGTGACCTGTTTGATGGACCAAAAAAACCGAGGTCTTCAGAGGTATATAAGTCATTGTCTTGGAGAAAAATTACAAGGAACTCGTGGTTGTGTTTCGAGGGGCAGAGAGCTGGCAGGGAGGCTCTGGAGGGAGGGTGTTCTCCGTCAGGTGCACGCTGAGCAGTGGGATCTTGTGTGCAGTTGCATTCTCTGATGCGCTGTGTCACCGCTCAGCGCCTGGCAGCGTTGCGCTGCGCTGACGTCGTGCTGTGGAAAGGGGAAGGATAACTTCCTGGGAATAGGGGATGCTTCTGTCGTAGAGAAATCTGGAAATCTGGCACTGACTGTTGAGGAAGTTAGTATTTTTTAGACTTATAAAATCACGGAATAACGTACAGTAGAAGTGATTGCTGGTGGTCATCTGGGGCTCCCCCCTGGCATCTCAAAGCAGGTTCAAATTATATCAGGATGCTCAGGGCTATGGTCCAGTTGAGCTTTGCACAAACTCTCCCAGACCCCCTGCCCTGCCCCCTGCATTCAGGTTTTAGCAGTGAGTGTAGTCAGCCACTGAAGCGATTTGCCACCCGCTTGTGGTTTCACCCCAAGGAAACACCACGCAGCTGCTCGCTCGCTCCCCTCAGCAGGGAGGGGAGAGACACGGAACGGAGAGAGTGAGAAAACTCATGGGTTGAGATAAAAACAGCTTAATAATTAATTATAATAATAACAGCAATGGAAAGGAAAATAACAGAGAGATAGACATGAAACCCAGGAAAGACAAGTGTTGCACGTGAAAACAACTGCTCACCACCAGCCGAATGATGCCCAGCAAATCCCTGAGCAGCAGCACCCCCAGTTCACTGCTGGGCACGACATCACACGGACGTCCCCGGGGTCTCTGGGATCGGCTGTGCTGGCTGTGTCCCCTCCAGTGCCTGTGCACCCCAGCCTGGCTGCTCAGTGGTAGCGAGCACCTCACTGCGTTACCAGCGCTGCCTCCAGCACAAACCCAAAACAGCCCCATACCAGCTACTGTGGAAAAATAAGCGATCCCAGCCAAGATCAGCACACTGCTGCAGGGAGGGTTTAGTCACTGGTGATTTTACATTCATGTGCTCTTAATTCCCATAAATCCTCAGGCCTGGCTTGTACAAGAAGGTCTAGATCAGAGTTATTCATTCTAGTTTTAGAGTATGTGCACAGAGACTAAAACGTGATGTATTCTAAACTCATTCTAGAAGGAATAGTATTTCAGAACCACTCTGCAGACACCAGCCACTCTCCCCTGCCTCCTTTTTGAAAAAGGAAACAAAAAATGCAGTGGGGTTGAAGTGGAAATGAAATAGAGCAGAAACAAATGGAAAGCCCCCAGTCTTGGTAAAAAAACCTTTCCAGTCTCACTGATTCTGTGGTTCTATACAATGTCTTACCTGTTACTTAAATCTCCTTCAGATTAGCACCCAGAGTGGTGGTAAATAGTTCACGTGCTGCCAAAACCATACCAGAACCAATTCTGCCTATTGGAACCCAATTGGTGCTAACTGTAGTGGAGAATGGAGTTAATAGACATGATCCCAGAATCCCAGACTGTTAGGGATTGGAAGGGACCTCCAAAGCTCATCCAGTCCAATCCCCCTGCCGGAGCAGGAACACCCAGATGAGGTTGCACAGGAAGGCGTCCAGGCGGGTTTTGAATGTCTGCAGAGAAGGAGACTCCACAACCTCTCTGGGCAGCCTGGTCCAGTGCTCTGTCACCCTCACTGAGAAGAAGTCTCTTCTCAGATTTAAGTGGAACCTTCTGTGTTCCAGTTTGTGTCCATTAATATCTAAATATTAATTAATATCTAAATATTAATTAATATCTAAAGATACCCAGTCCCTAAGCTCTTTCCACAGCAGCTGCAACAGTCTTTATCACGAGTGTATTGTGGGCTGGATGGATGTTTGTTCTGATTCACTGTGGCAGTTCTCATGGTCTTCTGTTGTACTCTCCCTAGTGTTGACCCCAACGATCAGAAGAAGACGGCTTGTTATGACATAGATGTAGAAGTTGAAGACCCGTTAAAGGGACAGATGAGTAGTTTTCTTCTCTCAACAGCTAACCAACAGGAGATTACAGCATTGGACAACAAGGTACTCGGAGTGAAGTATCTCATGGCATGTGTACTCATTGCATATCTTCGTGTGGGTTTGGTGTCACACGCTGAGGACAGTAATGCTGTGAGACAAGGACTCCTCTATTGGATGTGCTTTCAAGGGATGAATCAGCCACGTGCAATGGGAATACAGAGGGGTAAGGAGCCTTCCTGCTTAGGATTTCATCTGGGGCCTGACACCGTTGTCGAGGGGATAGGAGCAGTTTCACAGGTAGCGTAATGAGTCCCCTGGCTTTCAAGAGTCATCTGAACTGTTTGACTATGACTTTTTAGTGAGAGGTCGTGGTGTCTTGCTGAGTTGCTGTACGGCAAAGCTAAGGGAATCTCCCACTGCAGATGTGCTTTGTGCGTGCATCGTTGCAGAACAGCTCCGTGCAGCAGGTGTGCCCTGGTTTTGCTAGGTTTGCATCGTACAATTCCATTTTTCTGTTCTGCAGTGTTCGATTCAGTGAGAACAAGCTGGTGTTATGGCTGTAGCTGGGATGAAGTTATTTTCCTCATATAGTTGGTGAGACTTTGTTTTGGGTCTCACCACCAGTGTTTACCCTGTCTCAAGGTCTGGTTTTCAGTCCTTTGCATGCACCTGTGGTCATTGGTTCTTTTGGTTTGGGTTTTTTTTTTAATTCCCCTTCTCTCTGCACAAGAGGACTACAAGCTGGTGTTATGGCTGTAGCTGGGATGAAGTTATTTTCCTCATATAGTTGGTGAGACTTTGTTTTGGGTCTCACCACCAGTGTTTACCCTGTCTCAAGGTCTGGTTTTCAGTCCTTTGCATGCACCTGTGGTCATTGGTTTTTTTGGTTTGGGTTTTTTTAATTCCCCTTTTCTCTGCAGAAGAGGACTGGGGGGGAAGTGGGATTTTCTGGGACAGATGACCCAGGACAGGTGATCCCCGTGGGATCCATGCTGGCCAACAGAATGTAACCTATCCCATAAACATCACACACACTAAATTGGGGAGTTTGCAGGGGATGACCCCTTGTTCCTCGGATGGTGGCCATCTCATCCAGCTCGTTCGGTTCCTGAGGTTTACCTCTCCCCCTGTTGTGTTTTTGTTATCGCACAGCCAGCATCTGCTGCTTGTGAGCTGAGTATAATTTTGATTGCCTTAGTGTCATTGTTCCTATTCTTATTACAATTCATTAGCAGTAGTAGTATTTCAGTGTGGTTTATTTTAATTATTAAGTTATCTTTATCTCAACCGATGGGTTCTTTCACTTTTACTCCTCCACGTCTCTCCCTCCCCACTGGGGAGCGGGGGAGTGAGCGAGCGCTGTCTGGTGTTGAGCTGCCTGCTGGGTTAGACCTCGACGAGGGGCAGATGTGGAGAATGCGTGGCAGAAAAATCGCGTGGCGCAGTTTGGCAGCCTTGTTCTCAGTGTTACTGAGATCACGTGCACTTCAAGTAACGTGTCGTACGGCAGTGAGCTCCACAGGCTGTGTTAGGGGTTCGTGTCGTTGGGACCATCAGCTTTTGGGACGTGTGTAAACGGCTGATTTGGCTTGGTAAGGGGTAAACGAAAGTGTCTCCTCAGAGCAAGGGAAGAAGAAGAGGTGTGGCATCGTGGACCAGAGGTGATTTATGTGACATACAGGCAGGCCCTCTAGTACAAACAAACACGTTAAACTCTGGTCTTAACGTGATTTTAAAGGGGTTTGGACACCAGCAATCTGATGGACTCTGGTAGCTGTCACAGCATCTTCTGTTCAATGCTACTGAGAAAGGTCCTCCTCAGCAGGGCTGGTTCCCAGCCTGTCTATGTCCACTTGCATGCATAGGATCATTCTGTTTCCAGTCTGGACACCTGTTCCTGTATCCGTATCAGCTCTTTTTTGAGCGTTTGCTGCATCAGAGGGCGAGCTGGGATTAGTGAAGTTACTGAAGTCGCTTCTGGGTACACGAGCATTGCCTGCTGCATTGCCATCACCCGAACCAGTGATTGCCGTGCTGCCACAGAGTCCTCTAGCGGAAACCCGGTGCATGCCAACGGATTTCTCTCCATGGCTACATCATTTTCCCAAATAGTGAATGATTTTAAGTAGACAGCAGCTCTCTCCTGTTATCTGTCCGTATCATACACTAGTGGCCTTGATGGCATAGCGAGATCAGAGGAGCATTTTTTTCTCCCACGTTAGCTGTTTTGGCAAAATAGATGCGTGCTTGAAATTAAACAAGATAGGTTTACAATCTCAAACTAGAATTGTAGCAGAACAGGGTAGCAAACGTTTGCTTTTTGTGTATGTGTGTGCAAATGACTCATTAACTGTCCTCGCATTGATAAAACCTGATTTTGTTGTCCAGGGTGTTTACAGGACCTTGACTTCTCTTTGGAGTCTTTGTTCTTCCCTGCTGGTCCGTGCTCATTTCTTTCAGAGTATTTCTGAAGATGTGACTCGTTTTCCGTAACCCTTCCACACTCCTGATTTCTCGTTGTTCACACTCCTTTTTGCAGCCATTGTGACTTTAGTGGGATTTCTTGTCAGGAAGAGTCTGGAAGTCATGGCTGTTGTGTGAGGTCATTTAACGTGGACTTGGTCAGGCAAGCACTAGAAATTTTAAGGATCACAGCAGGATAATGAAGATACAATGATGATTAATGAGGGGATTAACTGCTTTCTTGCGCTGGGTGCCATTTAAAGACATATTTGCATAGCACCTTTCCTGAAAAAAACCAGACTTTGCAGAGAAACTGATTACAGACAGGAAATCCCTACACTGTACAGCGCTGTGACTTAGCTCTTCAGCATTGTATATAGCACACTATCCAGCAGTTCAGGCAGCAAGTGAAGAGCAATCCTGTGGTACCTGTGCTGCAGATGTGCAAGTGAAGCCAAAATGTAACTGCAGGATTGTGGTTACCTCCCTCTTTAAGGGAAAAAGCCATGGGAACCTGCACACGTCTGCGGTGCAGAGTCGTCAGCTTTGCACATTACACGAACAAAGATGCTGATGGGGCTGACCTCGCTGCACCACGGGAGGAGTTCAGTAACATCTGCTTTGCTTTTCTCTCTCAGATTCATGAGACAATCGAATCCATAAATCAGTTAAAAATACAACGTGATTTCATGCTGAGTTTCTCCAAAGATCCCAAAGGATACATCCAAGACCTTCTCCGGTCCCAAAGTAGGGATCTTAAGGTGAGTTAAGGTTTGAAGAAGAACGAATAGCGGAACTGGGATGTAAGAGTTTTACCTAAATGCACATAGCGAAAACAGCCAGGATGGAGCATCGGTGGAAGGCAGTGAGGGGAATACTGCAGTCCCACGCAGCAGCACGCAGGAAAGAGCCCTTGGGCACAGCGGTGTGCGAGTCTGTGGCCACACAGCGAGATTGCAGTGCAGGGCTGTACCCTGTGAAATTAAGCTGTAAAAAAACTCAGCAGGAGCATCCTGTAGCACAGCAACACAATTTGGATGGTTTTTTTTAGTTCGTAATTTAATTTTGTTTAAGAAATAGGCAGATTAAATATCAGCTGCCTTTGAGCTTAGCTTTGAGATACCCAAGAAATGGAATGTAAAGAAATTCAGTTGTTTGCCATCAAAAATGAGTAATTAGTTCCTCATAAAGTTTCACGCTTCGTGTGTTTTACTCAGATGTCTCAAAAACAGTTGTATTGATGAGTCCATGAAATTGTTGTAATGAAATCATTGTGTCTTTCAAATACGAATGCCTAGTTTGCAGTCAGTAGTTTCCAAACATCTACTGTTACAGTTGTGATTATTGTCATTTATATTGCATTCGGAAGGGGACAGGCATCTGAAAGGATGTTTAGAAAAAGGAGCTTTTAGCCTGGAGAGCCTGCAGGCTGTGTTGTGGAGCCTTTCTGGCTGCACACGCAGAGCGGTTGTTCAGGTCCTCCCTGGCTGGCAGCCATTCCCACAAGGGCCTTTTCTGTAATGGTCTGCCCTGCTGGCAGCAGAATTGGGACTGCACAACACGACTCTGCAGGAGATGCTGATAAGTTTATATTTACCCTTGATTCTGTGACGCTGGAGCCTTGGTCGTCAGAATTTTATTTTTCTTGTAGAATCGTAGAATGGTTTGGGTTGGAAGGGACCTTCAAAGCTCATCCTGTCCTGTTCAGCGTCTCACCACCCCATTGTAAAAAATGTCTTCTTTAGGTCCGGTCTAAACCTCTTTTAGTTTAAATCCATCGCTACAGGCCTGGGTAAAAAGTCTCTCTCCATCTTTCTTGTACACCCCCTTTAAGTCCTGAAAGGCCACAATAAGGCGTCCCCAGACCCTTCTGAGCCTTCTCTTCTCCGGGCTGAACAACCCCAACTCTCTCGTCTTTTCTTCACAGCAGAGGTGCTCCAGCTCTGACCTGGACCCACCCCACCAGGTCCATCCCTGTCTTGCATTGTGGGTCCCGGAGCTGGACGTGGTGCTCCTGGGGGTTGTGATGAGAGCAGGGCAGAGGGGCACAGTCCCCCCTGGCCCTGCTGGCCACGCTGTGGGGATGCAGCCCAGGACACGGTTGCTTTCTGGGCTGTGAGTGCCCATTGACGGCTCATGTCTGGTGTTTTGACCTCCAGTATCCCCAGATCCTCCTCTGCAGGGCTGCTCTCAGTCCATTCACGCTCTGTGCTGGTACTGAGGACTGTCCCAGCCCAGGTGATGACGAGTTGCTCTTCCCTCATCCACCAGTGCAGTCACGCTGTTGAAGACTGCTGGGTTACACACACACGATTTGCCGTTGGTGACGCCGTGTTGACTGTCTCTAATACCTCCCTGCCTGCCGTGTGTCCTGGCACATCTTCCAGGAGGATCTGGTTCATAATGTTACTGGGCACAGAGGTGAGACTGGTCGGTATTTCCCACGGTCCTCCTTTTGGCCGTTTTTAAACATGGGTCTCGTGTTTCCCTTTTTCTGGTCACTGGGGACTTCACCTGACTGCCGTGACTTCAGATGTGTTGGAGAGTGGCTTAGTGACTACATAGCCAGTTCCCTCAGGACCCTGGCATGCATTTCATCGCGTCCCATGGGCTGATCTATGCCTACAATCAGGCTCTTCAGATGCTCCCAAGCCTGATGGTCTCCTCAGACAGGAGGGACTTCTTTTCCCCTTAAGGTTCAGGGGCTTGAGATATGTGAGAAGAGAGATTACCATTGAAAACTGAGGCCAAAAAAGGTGTTGATTAACTTAGCCTTCTCCATATTGGTTGTCACCAGTTCTCCTGTCTTATTTACCAGGGCAGGTGTACATTTTCTTTAATTTTCCTTCTCTGGCCAACATACCTGTAGAAGTCCTTCTTATTCTTCCCTTCCCTTGCCAAATTCAGCTCCAGCTGTGCCTTAGCTTTCCTGAGCCCATCCCTACACATCTGGCAGCATCCCTATATCCTTCCCATATACATGTCCTTGGTTCCACTGTCTGTGCATTTCCTTCTTACGTTTCAGTTTGACAGGGAGGTCCAGACTCCCGCTTTCCTTGCCCAGTTTCTTGCACATGGGAATTTAGAGCTCTTTCAATAAGAAAAATGTCTTTGAGGAGCTGCCAGCTCTGTTCAGTTCCTTCCTCCCTAGGGGCAGCTTTCCAGGTGGTCCCATTCCTTTAACAACTTGTCAGATTTTTCAAGTCTTGCTTTCTTGGCAGTTGTGTAGAGACTGGAGAATCAGCTCAGGCTTTTGCTTTGGAGTTATTGGGGTTTTCTGTTCCTTGCATTTCACTAGAGTTATCTTTCCTTAATGCCTTCCCCATCAGAACTTTCCTTGAAATCAAGGTGAGATATGCTTTGAGATAAGGGCAGCAATGGTACTGAGTGGTGCTTCAATCTGGTGTGAATACCCTAACGATTTTAAGCTGTTACCCTGTGTATGGGTAGCTACTGAAGCTCTTTGGATATATAGGCTAATAAAATACATGGTACCGGGGAACTTCTGGGTGCTGAATCTGAACTGTCCGTGCTGTTAAGTTGCTAGAGATGGTGCCCCTCAGCCTGGGCAGCTGCTGGCGTCCAGGTTTATTCCTCTGTGCAGCGAGGAGCAGAGGTGAGGAGCTGTTCACAGGTCAGGGTTTGCTTGTGACCCTCTTGTTTTGGTAGAAAGCACACGTGGTGTTCATTGTCCCTTTGATTGGGCTTACAGGACAGTCCTGAACATTTTCAATTTGGTAATGTAAATACATTTTGACTCTAGGTAGATCTGAATGTTTCTCTATCTGATAGAAGAGCTATAGTGTAAAATTGGTCTTATTTTTTGTCGCAGGTGATGACTGATGTAGTTGGAAACCCAGAGGAAGAACGCAGAGCTGAATTTTATCACGAGCCATGGTCTCAAGAGGCTGTAAGCAGATATTTCTACTGCAAGGTATGAACGAATTATCTGTGCTGCTGGCTTATGAATGGATCACAGAATCCCAGAACATGAGGAGTTGGAAGGGACCTGGGAAGCTCCCCCAGTCCAACCCCCCCAGAGCAGGATCACCAGAGCAGTCACACAGGAACACGGCCAGGGCTTTGGGTGTCTCCACATAAGGAGACTCCACAACCTCTCTGGGCAGCCTGGGCCATGCTCTGCCACCTTCACCCTGACAAAGTTTGTCCTCATCTTCAGCTTGAACCTCCTGTGCTCCAGCTTGGGACCATTGCCCCTTGTTCTGGCATTGGACATCCCAGAGCAGAGCCTGGCTCCTTCCTCCTGACACTGCCCTTTCCAAATTGATCCCCATGAATGAGGGCACCCCTCAGTCTCCTCTGCTCCAAGCTGAAGAGACCCAGAATTGGGTCAGAGTTCAGATGCAGATTCAGATTTGAATCTGCCGAACTGTACGGTTTCTCTTTCTCTTTCAGATCCAGCAGCGCCGGCAGGAACTGGAACAGTCTCTGGGAGTGCGCAACACATAAGTACTGCTCACAAGATCCCGTTGGCGTCATGACCACCAAACCAGTGGACTTTTCAGTGTTACTTAGCTCACTGTTACACATGGACCTGTTTCCTGATGGGATGGGAATGTACCATCACCACACCAGTCAGAACACCAGCTTTAGAGTGACCCTTGAAAATCTTGCCCATGGCGGGTGCCTCAAACCATTCCAGGCCAGAGACAGCACCGTACAGGTGTCAGCGTTAACGAAGATTAAAGGTTCATTCATCAACACGCATCATTAAGTTTTAGTGGAAAGTTCAGACACTACACAGCAAATCTACTGGGCTATGCATAGAATCATGAGTGGCATTGATGGGGGACGTTGAGGTGGGTGTTATAGGAGACTACAGATTTAGAGATATAAATGCAGTTCTCATCCTAAGGGTCTCGAATAGTAACTTCTCTGGAATTAGACAAGACAGTCTTTCTTTTAGCTGTGGGATGCTTTATATTCCTGAACAGAGTTTTTATTCCAGCTGGAGCAGTGCAAGAAGCCATCTCCCCACGGGAAAGAACAAAGCAGGAGGATTTTCATTCCTGGAATGAGGAGCCCCTCTGGAAGAAAGAAGTGTTGTCAGGACATCTCCTCTGCAAACTGTAATACTTCCTCTTTCCCGCAGTGAAAGGTAGACTGAATTACGTATCACTGGATGGGTGTGAGCAATGTGCTGTGCTGAGAGGAAGAGAATTATCCCTGGGATTAGAGCTTCTTACGCATCCTCAGTATCCGTGGTGGTAGCCAAGCTGAGGTTGAAGCAAGAAATGGGGCATTCTGAGAAAATGAAAATAACTTAATGGCACTTTGCTGATACCTGCCTTGAACACAGCAGATGTTAACAATAAGCTATATGTAAAATACAAAATTTCTTAAGTGTTTTTCTGTGTGCCAGTAGGGATCAGCACTGAAAAGAACTTCCCTAAGTAAGTTAGTGCAGAATCCAAGAAACTTAACTTCATATAACGTGGCTATTTTAAGATTGGCCTCACATTTTGATCATAGGTGAACTGCCTCTTGCTGTGAATTATTTAGATCTCCCATACACGATACGCACTGGTTATACAGGATGCTGTTGAGTTACAAAGCACTATCAGCCTTAAATAGCAGAGAGAACGTATCCCTTGGAAACCATCTTCTGTGTAAACGTACAACAAGTTCAGACTGTGGGTATTTATACCATATTTACTTGATTTACAGGGACATCTTCATTAAATCCTTCCCCCCTCATTTTTTGCAGTGCTTAGACTAGTTTGTAATTAATGGTCCAACATGATTTCTGGTCCAAAAAACAGCTGCCAAAGTGTAATTCTTTGTCCGGATGATGTGGCACTCAAAATCCTCTTCTAGGTTACTCCTTTTCATCTCCTTTCTTTCACTTTCTTGGAAGGAGAATCAGATCTGCACGTGGTACGGAAGGGAGGCAGCTCTTCTGAATGATGCGTTTTGTCGTCGTCTTGTCCTTTTCTGTGATCTCTGCCAAGGTCTTTCTTAGTTGACCTTAAAAGTTTCTTCTGTCCCACCACAGAGGCGTCTTCTCTTCCACCCCTTTATTTAATATCTGCGCTTTCACATTCATGGTGCCACAGCTTTCACTCTGTCCATGTTATACAGAGATGTGTTAACATTTACGATCAGACTGACATTTGGCTGCAGTCATGTGGTGGCCGTACCATCACACAAAACCATTGGTGTTAGAAGAAGCAGAGCTGTACCTCTTTGCCTGCGGCCTTTTACTGGGAATGGCTTAATTTGGAACTTTTTTGTGTTAAAACCTCTTTTTACAGTAAAAAGTGAAATTCTGCAGACTTACACTGAGTGCAGTGGGGGGCTGTGAGGCTGCCAGACAGTGAATGACTTGAGATCTTTCTTACTTTAGAACTCCACTAATTGGACTACAGCCAGGCATTACGAGGGGAAAACAGTGGGGGTCATCTGCTACCGTGCTTCCATATTTATTACGCTGCTGTGTCAGTTGTATGCATGCTGTCCAGTGTGTGAAACTCTTTTCTGTATGTGGTAAACAGAGCAGCTACATTCAGGGGATGCGTTCGGTCTCCAGGAACGAGAAACGCAGAGAAAGGTACGCAAGGACGCGAGAGGCACGTGGGGCTGGGACGGGTACCTGCAGCACGTCTGCCAGGGAATTCTGAGTTTTGAGAGCCTTCCCGTCGAAGTGTGGTAAATATTTATACAGAGAGACTTCGGTCGTTCTGTGTCCAAGTCTTTCAGAGCAAAGGGACAGAAGGGATGGGGCGTTGCTGCCCAGCGTTCACAGCAGCGTCGCTGGAAGGCGAATCTGCGCCAAGCGCCGGTGCTGCGCTGCAGTGCGTGCACACATGCGAGTCGGCACCACGCGGCACTGAGGATGCAAACCGGAGCCTAAACTCCTGTATCCCCTTTGCGCGTTCCTGCGGTGCGAAAGGGACTGGTCACCAGCAGTGAGTCTTGGGAAGAGCTGTCAGGTGTCTGTGGTTAACCTGGGGTTTGAGATTTTGATGTGTTTCTCCTGTGTCCAGAAGCAGTTCAAGCCTTTCACTGCAGAGGCACAGAGAGAAACATTGTTCTCTGTTCCAGGAGTGCAGTCAGGAGCTTGCTTGTTTGTAGAAAAAAGAAATATGTGAAGGGAAATAACAGAGCAGTACTGGGAGGAACTGCACCAAATGCTGGCTTGGAATACGAAAATGAAAGGCAGCAGTACTGAGCAGGCGTGTAATTGTGGCAGATTGTGAACGATAAATTCATCTTTAGTTCAGGATGGTTATCTTTTTGTGTGCATAAAAGAGGAGAAGAAGGTGTTTTGGGGTCTTCAGTTGCTGCCACAGTACAATACAAATCTGTGCATACAGCAAAAAGAAATAATATCTGTGCGTGGAAGTAGTTAATGTCTAGATTATAACAGAGACTGACAGAAAACACGTCATCGGACTAGGAAAGGATTAAAACAGAATTCTGGAGTACCAACAGAAGGGAAGTGTATCCTGGGGCTGAAGTGTTGGCATGGCGGGTTTGAAACACGCTGTTGAGTCCTCTGAGCCGCTGGCCACGAGTCAGGAATCAGACCAAGTGTTCCTTAGAAATTAAAGGGAAAACAAATGTTTCATTATGGAACAGAGCAAATGAAATAAAGAGATGGAGCAGAGTCTGCTGAAGAGCCAGACACAGGAGAGGGTGAGGAGCAGAAACAGCTCCGTCCTGTGAGCCGTCCCGTTTGTGCGCACCTGTGCACGTCTGCGTGGGAGGGAAGCGGCCTCCGCTGGCTCCTGGCCTGGGACGTGGGCAGCAGGACAGGGCCCAGGGCTCTGCAGGTAACGCTGAGACTCCGCTGCCCTCCACAGGGTGTGTGACCGTGGGGTTGGTCTTTGTGGGGCAAGGGCAGGGCCCAGAGCAGTCTCTGCTGCTCTCCACAGGGTGTGTGACCGTGGGGTTGGTCTTTGTGGGGCAAGGGCAGGGCCCAGAGCAGTCTCTGCTGCTCTCCACAGGGTGTGTGACCGTGGGGTTGGTCTTTGTGGGGCAAGGGCAGGGCCCAGAGCAGTCTCTGCTGCTCTCCACAGGGTGTGTGACCGTGGGGTTGGTCTTTGTGGGGCAAGGGCAGGGCCCAGAGCAGTCTCTGCTGCTCTCCACAGGGTGTGTGACCGTGGGGTTGGTCTTTGTGGGGCAAGGGCAGGGCCCAGAGCAGTCTCTGCTGCTCTCCACAGGGTGTGTGACCGTGGGGTTGGTCTTTGTGGGGCAAGGGCAGGGCCCAGAGCAGTCTCTGCTGCTCTCCACAGGGTGTGTGACCGTGGGGTTGGTCTTTGTGGGGCAAGGGCAGGGCCCAGAGCAGTCTCTGCTGCTCTCCACAGGGTGTGTGACCGTGGGGTTGGTCTTTGTGGGGCAAGGACAGGGCCCAGAGCGGTCTCTGCTGCTCTCCACAGGGTGTGTGATGGGGGTTGGTTGCTGTGGAGCAGACGTCATTTCACCTGGCAGATTTTTTCACCGCGTGGTTTAGAATTTTTCCTGTGGAAGCCGAGTGAAAATATTAGTGTGTATTTCACTGCTGGTGCGTATCCTGGGGCTCCTAATATTGCCAAAATGCTAGTCAGGGATTGGGGATTTTTTGGCCTGTTTTTCTGTTGAGAACCCTGTTACAGCAGTGCAAATAAATGAGGGGGAAAAGAAAGCTCTATTTTTCCTGAAGAAAGAGGCCTCCTTTCTGTACCTGCTCTGTTGTTTATTAGGGTGTATCTGTTCTGCCAGATCCTGTGTGATAAACACCTTTTCCAATCTCATTGAAGAAAGAACTCCATTAAAAAATACAACTGTGGGTTTGTGAGAGTGAGCAAATACCTGGGGGGGAGAGAGAGACAGAGACTCCCTCTACTCTGTAGCCACCGTATCTTCATTGTATGATGCCGAGTGATTCGTAGAAAAGCTTTTATCAATAAATACTTTGTTTCTTTGTATCTCTTGCAGTAACCTTATGGGCCTTAGCAAAAATGGTACAGTTGGTTTCTTTCTGCTCCTGATAACGTTCTTGAGTTTTTGGATTTGTGTTCAGTTGTGTGCCCACACAGGAGCATCCCAGTCAGGATTGGATGGGACTGGGAGCTGGGGAGGGGTGTGGAGCAGCCGAATGCTGGGGAGCAATGAGGGAGCGGGGGGGGTTCAAGTGGAGCAGAGGAGGTGAGGGGAGCCCTTATCCCCTCTTTGGCTCCCAAAAGGAGGGGGTAGCGAGGGGGGTCGGGCTCTGCTCCCCATAACAAGCGATGGGAGCAGAGGAAATGGCCTCAAGTTGTGCCAGGGGAGGGGGAGGTTGGATACAGGGGAAATTTCTTCCCCAACGGGTTCTCAGGGCCTGGCAGGGGCTGCCCAGGGCAGTGGTGCAGTCCCAGTCCCTGCAGGGGTTCAATGGAATTTAAAAGGGAGATGATTAAAAAGAATTTAAAAGGGAGATGAGGTGCCATGGTCAGCGGTGGAGTTGGCAGTGCCAGGTTTGTGGTTGGACTCAATGATCTTAATGGTCCTTTCCAACCTCAGCGGTTCTGTGATTGACAACGGTGAGAGCTGTTGCCCTTCAGACCTTTCTCACTTTAATTCGTTTCTTCACTGGTTTCCATCTTAAGCCATTTCCATATTGAACAAGTGAGGACTCCTTACCGTGGGGCAGGTGCTTGGGCATTTTGGAGTACATTTGTCATGATCACTGGTACAGTCAACAAAAAGCTGCAGCTGGGCCTAGAGCTTGGATGCTGAGAGTTTCCTGCTGCTTCTTGTTCCTCTCGTGCTGTCTGCTCCCCATCCCTATCCCGTTCCCCATCACTGTTTGGCTCTCTCTTGTTTTTTCTCTTCTTTGTTCTTTTTAAGAAGTTCCCTGTGCCTTTTCTTTCTCGCCCTCGTTCCTCTGTCTTGTGCTCTGTCCTGCTTTCGAGGCCATGGA